GAAGAACCAGCTCTTGGTTTCATTGATCTTTCGGATTGTTTTTTGGGTTTCCATCTCGTTAATCTCTGCTCTGAGTTTTATTATTTCCTTTCTCCTGTTCGGGTTGTGCTCCTTTTTTTGGTCCTTCTCCAAGCTCTTAAGCTGTGAGGTTAGGTTACTTATGTGTGCTCGCTCCTCCTTCCTGAGGAATGCTTGTAGAGATATAAACTTTCCTCTTAACACAGCCTTTGCTGTGTCCCATAAGTTTTGGTAACTCGTGTTCTCATTTTCATTCGTTTCTAGGAATCTTTTGATTTCCTCTTTGATTTCCTGTCTAATCCACTCGTTGTTCAATAGTGCACTGTTTAATTTCCAGGTGTTTGATTTAGTTTTCTGTTTTTGTGTGTGATTTACTTCTAATTTCAGAGCATTATGGTCTGAGAAGATTGTTGATACAATCTCTACCTTCTTAATTTTATGGAGGCATGTTTTGTGGCTCAGCATGTGGTCTATCTTGGAGAATGTTCCATGTACGCTTGAGAAGAATGTGTATTCAGCTTTTTGTGGATGAAGTGTCCTGTATATATCTACTAAGTCCCTTTCTTCCATTGTTTCCCTCAAATGAAGTATGTCCTTGCTAAGCTTGAGTCTGGTTGATCTATCAAGAGGTGACAAAGCAGTGTTGAAGTCTCCCACTAGTATTGTGCTGCTATTGATGTCTTTTTCCAAATCTATGAGTAGTTGTTTTAAGTACTTTGCTGGTCTCTCATTAGGTGCATATACATTTATTATTGTAAGTTCTTCCTGTTGTACAGATCCTCTGATCAATAAGAAATGGCCTTCATTGTCTCTTATGACCTTCCTCACTCTGAAATCGATGTGGTCTGATATAAGGATGGCTACCCCAGCTTTTTTATGGGAGCTGTTTGCCTGTAGGATTGTTTTCCAGCCTTTGACTCTGAGTCTGTGTTTGCTTTGACTATTTTCTTAATCTTTTTAACACGAAGAAATAGCATCTGGAAAGCCATATTGCAGATGGTATTATATGGTGTGAGGTAAAGTAAAGTAAAAAGTAAGGGCCCTCCCGTTGATCATTGATTTGCTCGAGCGGGCCCAGTAACATCTCCATTGGAGACTTTGTTGTTACTGTGTTTGGCATATCGAATACGTCACGGGTGGCTTGCCAGGCTCTGCCGTGCGGGCAAGATACTCTCGGTAGCTTGCCGGGCTCTCCAAGAGGGGCAGAGGAATCAAACTCGGGTTGGCCATGTTGGCTGCGTGCAAGGCAAACGCCCTACCTCTGTGCTATCGCTCCAGCCCTGTGGTGTGGTGTGAGGTATGTGTTAGGATTTGTCTTTTTGTGATTTCTCCCCTTTCATTCTGATTCAATTGATTCAGGCATGTTTCTCTTCTTTTTCGTCATGGGTCTAGCCAAGTGTTTATCTATCTTGTTTATTCTTTTGAAGAACCAGCTCCTGGTTTCATTGACTTTTTTGTATTGTTTTCCTGGTTGCTCTATCATGTATTTCTGTAAGCGGTAGGGTGTTTGCTTTGCACGCAGCCAACATGGCTGACCCGAGTTCAATTCCTCCGCCCCTCTCGGAGAGTCCGGCAAGCTACCGAGAGTATCTCGCCCGCACGGCAGAGCCTGGCAAGCCGCCCGTGATGTGTTCGATATGCCAAACACAGTAACAACAAAATTTCCATGGAGACGTTACTGGACCCGCTCAAGCAAATCGATGAACAATGGGAGAGCCTTTACTTACATATGTATTTCTGCTCTGGTTTTTAATTTATTTCTCTATTAATTTTGGAATTCATTTGTTAACCCTTCTCTAGATGTTTACAACTTGTGCTTAAAAATTTTATTTGAGCTTTTTGGTTCTTTCTGAGTCAAGGCCTATATATCTATACATTTCCATCTTAGTATTGCTTTTTCTGTGTCATATGGGTTTTGTTCATTTATTTTATTTTAATTAATTAATTAATTAATTTGTATTGTGGCCATACCTGGCGGTGCTCAGGGCTTACTTCTGGTTCTGCACTCAGGGATCATTTCTGGACATCTTTGGCAGATCATATGGAGTGTCACGGATCAAACTCACATTAGTTACATGCAAGGCAAGCTCCCTACATGCTGTAATGTTGCCTCAGACCCTAATTAAATTCTCTAGGTTGGGTGCTGTTTTGCCTGGTACAATATAGCAGTCCCAGATATTTATTTGTCTACCATTGTTTTGTATGAATGTTTTCCATCCTTTCACTTGGAGACTGTATTTATCCTGTGAACCCAGGTGTGATTCCTGTAAGCAGCAAATAATTGAGAGAAATCACAACAGACTCCTGAGAAATTCCAAATGTTGCCATAGGTTACTATGAACAATTTTCTCCCAAAACTGAATGAGAAGGAGATAGAAAATCTGAACAGGCCAATTAAAACAAGGAAATTGAAAATATAATAAAAAATGTTCCCCAAAACTGAAGCCCTGGTCCAGATGGGTCCACTGGTGATTTCTGTTCCACTGTTAAGAAGTTTTACTACTTCAAGGAAATTACTCCATGGCTTTGAGGCCAGCCGCACACCCTAGGGGAAAAGGCAGCTCAGATAGAGACGGGAGCACCAAATAAACGGTGTTGGGAGGTTCCTCTCAGGATGGGACATGTGTGATGAGAGTAGACTCTAGACCGAACATGATTGCTTCTCAATGTCTCTTTTGTGAACCACAGCACTTAAAAGGAGAGAGATAACAAAAGGGAATGCCCTGCCACAGAGGTAGGGTGGAATGGAGGGTTTGGGGGAGTGGGAGGGATACTGGGATCAGTGGTGGTAGAGAATGGGCTTTGGTGGCGGGAGTGGTATTTGATCATTGTATAACTGAAACCCAAGCACAAAACTTTTTAAGTCTACAACTGTACCTCATGGTGTTTCACTAATAAAAATTTAAGGAAAAAAATTAGTTTTACTACTTCTACTTCACAAACTCTTGCAAAATATTGAAGAAATAGGAATCCTTTCTAACAGCTTCTACAAAGCTAGCATCACACCAATTCTCAAATCAGATCAAAATTGTATTAAAAAATTTCAGATCAATTTTCTGGAAGAACACTTGTGTATTTTCTAATGGGAGGCAGCACTCTATCTCTCTTGAGGCCGGTGTTTGGTAGTCTCTGCTTTTCCCTTCCTGGGGAGGCTGACCGCGATGGGTAGGCAAAGGAAGGAATGAGGTATTAATTGCAATTTATTCCAATCTCCTCTCCATTCTCCTCTGATTACCCTTCTGCTTCTCTCTCTGGAGCCCCCTCCGATCTTATGGTCTCAGTTTATATAGCAATCACGTAGGGTGGTGATACAAAGATGGGTTGAACATTAACAAATCAACAAAGATAGGCAAGGCTCCTCCAGGAGATTAACTCAAGGACAAAATCTCATCTAAGGAGATTACTCCATATTATTAGGAGATCTGCTCAAGGGTTGTTTCCCATCCACGGCGTGTTGCTTCCTTCTTTCCTCAGCTAGTAAACCACTTAAATAGTTGTAGTAAATTTACTTCTAATATTTCTAGCAATGTCATTTTGTATAAGCACAGAAAGAGATATATCAAGCTTAAAGTTTGGTTCTTCTTGGGGACATCTCACTATATATTCCAGACCACAGTCCTCAGACCAGTTTAGTCTTCCTAACCCCAGCAGGATCCTTATTCAGTTACCTCTTTTGGGTCATGACAGAGTTTGTTCATGACTTATGGCTGAGTATTGTGGCGTTTTGGTCTGGCCCATTTCAATGCCAGGGTAGCTCATAGCTTGCCCTGGGTCCATTCAGTCCCTCATTGGGATCCTGCTTTTGGGGTGCTAAGCAACTAAGGGCATCTGAGGCTTAAGTCAAGAGAGCAGATGTCTAGGAGTGAATATTATTTGGAGTCAATTAACTCCCAAGTTACAAAAGCATAATGTTAACTGTCTTCCCGTGTTCATACAAAAAGGACAATGCTTTAAAGTAAACTATGCAAAAGATGGGAAAAGCAATATTTAATTTACAAGTTCAGTGTGCTAAGAAGGATCTGATCTTACAAGTTACCAGAATCTGATTAGGGACAAAGGGTGATTAACTGGTTGAGGAGGAGAGCACAGGAAAAGTTTACAGATAAACACAGAGGAATGGGAGTGACTCAGGAGCACTATAATGAGTATAACCTGATAAACATAAGCCCCCTGTGGCAAGGGAGAAAGGAGAAATCAATGGTATCCTACAAATACTGATTCAGCAACAAGATCTTAGTAAACCAATGCCAGCAACATATCAAGAGAATACACCACAATCAAATGGGATTCATCTCAGCAATATAAGGATGGCTCAACACATGCACATCAATTAATATGATAAATTGTATCCATGGGCTGGAGTGATAGCACAGGGGGTAGGGCATTTGCCTTGCATGCAGCCAACATGGCCGACCTGAGTTCGATTCCTCTGCCCCTCTCAGAGAGCCCGGCAAGCTACCGAGAGTATCATGCCCACACGGCAAAGCCTGGCAAGCTATCCGTGACGTATTCGATATGCCAAATATGGTAACAAGTCTCACAATGTTACTGGGCCCGCTCGAGCAAATCAATGAATGAAGGGAGGACAGTGACAGTGACAGTGATATTGTATCCATATACTCCAAGGAAGGTTAAAAAAATCTTAAGATCTTATCAGTCAGTACAGGTAAAGCTTGACAGAATTCAACACCCACTCATGATTAAAACTTTCAACAAACTAGGGATAGAAGGAAGCACCCTTAGGATAGTAATGGCCACTATAACAACCCAGTCCATATTATTCACAGTGTTGATAAGTGGGAAACACTCCCTCTGAGGCGCAAGGCAAGAGTGTCCATTGTTTCCACTTTTATTCAATAAAGTGTTCAATGTCCTATCAACAGCAATCAGGCTGGATAAAGAAGCCAAAGGGATCCAAATTGGAAAAAAGGTCAAATTATCACCATTTGCAGATAACATTATAACATACATAGAAGACCGCAAGAAGCTCACTAAAAAACCTGTTAGAAACAATAAACCAGTACAACAAAGTAGAAGGCTGTATTGTCAGTACACAAACATTTATGGCATCTTTATATACAAATAAAGAAATAGCAGAGGTGGAGATAAAAGGACTACAGCATTCCAAACAGTGTCCGAAATCATTCACAATGAAAGAAAGAACCAACGTTCCTCTTCAACCAATCAACGCAACTAAAGATGTGAAGGACCTTTACTATAAAAACACAAGCCATTTTATATTTCTCTCAGAGAAGAGAAATGCATCAGTACTAAGACATTTCGAAGGTGTTTTAACATTGGACAGCTTTATTGTACAAGTGTGTATCTAAGGTCAAAAGTGACACCTGAGGCTGAAAAGTTCAGACTGCTGCTCTCGGTAGTGCCGGACACGCTCTGATCCATCTCCTGCTCCGGGTTACGGTTCCTTCGTGGCCGGCTCCCGCGCTGTGCATCGGCTCTAAGAGTCCCTGAGATGCTCCCGAGTGCCCCGGTACCCCTGCAGCAGGTAGAGCAGAAGGGCGCCCCCCAGCAGTAGGGCCAGGCTCATCCATGGGTGGCTGCTCGGCACCCGGCTCCAGGCGCACAGCCAGGCCAGCAGCCCGCTCCGCTTTCGGGGCTGGTGCATGCGCGTGGCCAGACTCGCCGCCACCCTGCGCAGCTGGTCCTGGGTGCTGCCCAAACCCGGGGTCTGCGCCTGCACGAAGGGCCCGCCTGTGTAGGGGTCGCCGCCCTGGTCCCTGACCAGTTGCTCCACCTGTGCCATCAGCTCGGCCACCTGCGCCTCCCGCTGGCCGCCCGTGGCCCGGTTGTTGAAGGCGCACATGCGGTGCCCGCACTTGGCCACCAGCTCGCGCAGCGCGCGGTTGTCCCCGTCTCGCACGTACTCCCGCAGGGACCCCCCTGCCAGGTCCTCCCCGCGCGTGAAGACCACGATGGTGCGCTCCAGCACGCTGTCCCCGAACGCGGCCTTCAGGGCGTTCACGGCCAGTTGGTCCTGGTGGGTGAAGCGGCCCAGCTGGGTCACCAGTAGCAGGACGTGGGGCCCCGGCGCCGAGAGCAGGACGCAGCGGCCCCACTCCCACCACCGCGGGTCCGAGTCGGTGATGTCGGAGCTTAAAAGGTCCGGCGTGTCCAGGACCTCCACGTGCCACCGGCCCCACCTGCACGTCCCCACGGTGCAGGCTGTGGTCACGGGCGTGGCGCTGAGCCGGGACGGGAAGCAGTCCCGGCCCAGGATGCTGTTCCCTGTGGCGCTCTTCCCGGTTCCAGATTTCCCGACCAGGAGGAGCCTCAGTTTGGGCTCCTGCTGGGACTGCCCGGCCTCGGGATCTAGGGGACAGACAAACTATTAGTTCACATCCCCCCTTCTGGGCCAAGCTGCCTCCCCCAGACCCTTTGAACCCCGAACCAGGGCCTGCACCTTTCGTTTTCACACCGAAATTCTCTGGAGTCACTTTGGGCTCCTGTGTCATCACCTTTTCCCATCTTTGCCTTGGCCCCTGTAACTGCTGGCGAAACTTTACTGTTCCAGAACATTCCTCTTCTGACAATACTTGCAGAGCTGCTCCTTATCGGACATCTGTGGCCTCTGCAATTCTCCCAGGTGACCCCACTACCACCCCCCAAGTGGAAGGACTGTGGGTCTGGGGTCCCAGACACCCCAATTCCAATCACAGCTGCTGTCCCTGTGGGCAGCCCCAGGCTGTTCTCTGGTAGCTGAGTGGTCCTTTCCGTGCCAGCCCTCTGAGCTTCAGGCTCCAACCTTGGGAAGTTCTCTGTCTAACTGTTAAGTCTCTTCTAGAAAAATGGGTTTGTTTTTTTGAGTTGGACGAGAGATTCAGATGAGATCAGCTCTCCCCTGAGCCCCTCACCCAGCCTCCTCCCCTTAAACCTGCTGCCTAACCAGATGCTGAATTGTCCCATCACCTCGTTCTTCATCTCCTGCTGCCAAAAAAATCGTGTCTCTGCAGTGCATGATCTGGTGCCTTTATCCCAACCGGGCTGTGGATTTATTATCTGCATTTTGCATTTTTTTTTTTTGCGGGGAGGGGTCACAGGGCTAGCCCAGGATCACAGACCCTCACAGCTGGGCGGGCCAGTGTGCAGCTGAAACAAGCCCTCAGGACTCCAGCTGGTTTCCCCTGTTTGTTGTGTCTCTGTTGGGTTCTGAATTGCCCTTCCCCCTTTTCCCCAGGCCCACCCCAGGGACACATATATGTGCAGTGACATGTGCTTACCATAAACATTTTCTTCATCCCTTGCCATCCTCCGACCTCCCATGCCCACCTGCAAGAGTCCAAATCCAGTGTGTTAGTTTGTTCATTCACGCATGCATGTATTTTTATGAGAGTAAAATCACCTGCACTGTGGCAGGCAAAGTCCGTAAAAAGAGTAACATTGCCATGAAAAAAAAAGTCCTGGGGCCACATTCTCCGAAGATCTATATTTAGGGATGAACACTGGATTCTGTCATATACTTTATTGACAATTTTACTTCCACTCCAGAGGTTCGTGTTTCTGTATCCGGTCCCCTGTCATCTTTCTAAGATTGGACCTGAGAGTTTTTTTTGTGTTGGTCATTTTGTGATAGTTATTTTTTGTTCTTAGAAATCTACAAACTGCAATGACTGAGTTGAAAGAAACACACACCCAGGAACATTACAGCAAAGAAGTCGTTAGCTGAAGCCAGTGATTCCTGCCACAGTGGAAGGAGATTGTGGGCTCCAGGGACCACAGGCCTCGTGGGGACTCACAGTCATTCCCCACGTGCTTTGGGAGGGGGTGTGTGAACTATTTTAAAATATTTTTTAAGAGGGGAGGGAAGCCCCAGGTGCATTATCTTATTCCTCTTATGTGTAGGTAGGAAACGAAGAACCCTACATTTGGAATATTCAGAACTCAACATTCATGTTACCCAGTGCCTTCAAATATTGCTCTTTTCCAGAACTACTTGACTGTTTCTTTTTAAAGTACACACTTTGGGAACCATTGTCAGAGATTATGATTCATTTGTGATAAAAACCAATTCACAAAACTGTAAACATGAGGAACCCTTCGTTGCAGGGTTGAAAATCGAGAGAGTCCCTGTCAGTGGGGTGAGTGGTGACGTTTGGGTTGGGGAGAAGCCACGTAAGGGAAAGGGGGTGTTGAATAATTTCTAACCTCAGATGTCCCTTGAGATGGCCCTGGAGTGTCCAGGAAGGACAGAGAGAAGCGTGGGGGGGTACATTCGTCCTCATCTCAATGGCCACATCTCAGCTTGCTCTGCCCTTGGACCAGCTATGGGTCCAGAGGAGTGTCTTGCCTTTCCTGGCTATGCAGCTTGACAGTGTTTCCTGCCTTTCACAGTCTAACTGTCCCGAGATGTTGTTCTGGCACACATTTCTCTTACAGTGCTCAGGGAGTGTAACTAAGGCAGCCTTTGCTCCTAAGCAAGAGCCTTGTCTTCTAGGCTGGAGAGTTGCACTTTCCATTACCTATGAGCTAGATCCATTGGAAAGTGAGAACAGGCTTAAGACTCTGGAAGCCTGGTCTGGGTTGCTGGGATGTTGTTGTGTGGTGCCTGGCGAATGCAGGTGCTCTGGCAGAAACACTCCAGGACCTCTTTCCTTCTGACTGCTAGCAGAACCCTCTCCCTTCTTTGACTCACCTTCCTGGGACAGGTGCTGAGGCTGCTTGGAGAAGTCCCTGACCCGCTGCTATGTCCTGGGCAGTGAGAACAGCAGGCTGGTGCCTTCCAGCAGAGAGGAAGTCTGTTTGCTCTCAGACCGCAGGGCTCAGGAAGTCCAGGGGAGGGCGGGTGAAAACTTAAAGAGACACACACTCTACACTGAGATGTGGTTTGCAGGGTTTCTCCTACAAATATCCCCTCCTGCTGTGACTTAGGAGATGTGTGGACCAGCGTGGCCCCTGATATCAAATATCTTGCTGTGGGTCAGCCACTGCCCTTGCATGTGGCCGACTGGGTTTGATGTCCTGCATTCCATATGATCCTCTGAGCACCACCAGGAGCAATTCCTGAGTGCTGAGCAAGGTTGGGTGTGGCCCACAAACAGAACAAAACAAAAATATCTTGCTGTACCTGAGGAAGAGACAGAGATTTTCATCCCTGAGACCTGACCCTGTTCTAGAAATTGTTACTGGTGTAATTTTTCAATTATCCTGCTCTAGATAGGGATTTTATCACTCCACCCCCATAAAAAATGGTCCAGAGAAACTTCGGCCCAGTCCTAAGAATTTGATTCAATTGTCAACAGTCACTCATTGATTGGACATGCCTATGATCATTCCACCCTCGTGCAATGCCACCGTGACTCTAGCGTGAAAGAAGATTCTGGAAGAAGAGAGCCATCTGAGAAAGGAAGTCTCTAGCTTGGGGAGAATATTAGAGCTTGTGGCATGTTGGGTGTGAATACTTTACCCAGTCTCAGGTTCACCTCAGTACAGACCTAGTTTTGCTGCTGGGATGGTACCCTCAATTCTAATTACTCTCTCTTCTCTCAAGAGAATGATGAGAGCAAGCCTAGAAAGTGAGCCAATGTCAAGTGGTGAACGGGTTACCAAAGGCTGGGCCCTGGGCCTTTTCATGCCACCAACCAGCTACATGACCTACCTAACTGAGGAAACTTCTTAAATTGGACTGTCCCTGGAGGAACTAAGATCTGAGCTTTTTGTATTTTATGTCCAGGCTCTAACTTTTCAGCCTTTTCTTGCCAACATATTTTTTCTTTGTTTTTAAGGTAGGAAAAGTTTCGGTTTCCTTTTCTTCATCTGTTTCTGGGAACAGAGTCTTTTGAATGGCTGACACTCCTGCTGTTTCCATTTCCACTTCAGTGGGAAAGGTAATGACAATTAATTTAATTATTGATTAGTTTAATGTGAAGACATGGTCCCCATAGCATGGCCAAGAACTGTCTCTGAACAAAGTAGGTGTATCTCCCTCAAAATAAAAATAAATAATATTTGGGGCTGGAGCAATAGCATAGTGGGTAGGACGTTTGCCTTGCACTTGGCCAACCAGAATTCAAATCCCAGCAACCCATATGGTTCCCCAAGCACCGCCAGGAGTATTTCCTGAGTGCAGAGCCAGGAGTAATCCCTGTGCATCGCCGAGTGTCACCCAAAAAGGAAAAAGAAAAAAAGAAGGAAATTTACCAAGGCAAAATAATAATGACATGCGCTTTTTATTTATGGACGTGCAGAGAGTAATGGAAGGGTAGAGAGTAAGTGGAATGTATTTGTAAGTTTACTATATTTTACTAGATGCCTTGAACTCTTACTTCAAGTTAAGAGTACTAATGTATCACTGTCATCCCGTTCTTCATTGATTCACTTGAGCGGGCACCAGTAACGTCTCCATTCATCCCAGCCCTGAGATTTTAGCAGCCTTTTCTTACTCATCTTTCCCAACACTTCCATAAGGAGCCTCTTTCAGGGTCAGAGGAATGAGACCTGTTATTGTTACTGTTTTTAGCATATCAAATACACCATGGGTAGCTTGCCAGGCTCTGCCTGTGGGTGGGATACTCTTGGTAGCTTGCTGGACTCTTCATATATATGTATATATATATATATATATATATATGTGTGTGTGTGTGTGTGTGTGTGTGTGTGTGTATTTCCCTATATGATTTGTTGCCTACTGTATGGGGGCATATATATCACTGTCCTCCCGTTGTTCATTGATTTGCTTGAGCGGACAACAGTAACGTGCCCATTGTGAGACTTGTTGTTAATGTTTTTGGCATATTGAATACGTCAAGGGTAGCTTTCCAGGCTTTGCCATGTGGGTGGGATGCTCTCCGTAGCTTTCCAGGCTTGATGAGAGAGGCAGAGGAATTGAATGTGGAGCATGGCGGTGATTTGTGACCTTGGACTCCAGACTCAATGGGACCTGGAAACAGAGATCCTTTGCCTGCTTCCTTCAATCTCTGGTGACCCAGGGATCACACCCATAAGACCCACTCTGCTGGTGCCAGATAAACACCTCGTTGGTATTTTTCGCGGCCACATGACACATCATAAGACACTTCCTATCCAGTTTTCATAACTACTGCACCATATTTGTTGGGGTTCAAATATGGTGTGAACTATGGGAACACCTGTAAGGGCGATTAGAAGCTGCCCTAAAAGCCTCCATCCTTATTGGAGAGCCTGGCAAGCTATCGAGAGTATTCTGCTGGAATGGCAGAGCCTGGCGAGCTATCCATGGCATATTTGATATGCCAAAAACAGTAAAAACAATGGACCTCATTCCCCTGACCCTGAAGGAGCCCCCAAAATGGCAGCATTAAGAAGGAACAACACGGAGAGGCTGATAAAATCTCAGGGCCGAACTGGGTTGTAAAAACAAAGAAGGACTAAAATGACTGTACTTTCAACGCACGTACGTGGGCATTGGAAGCATCCATCAAGAACCTGACGGTGCAAGCACAGAAGATCAATTATGCTTGAATAGATGTGGCTCACTGCCGGCAGTTTCTGTCTTCGTTGTCTACGCACCAACATCCAATTATGATGAAGGAGAAATTGAGAAGTTTTACATGGAGCTGGAGAAGTCCTATAAAGAAGACCACATCTTCTACAAGATCATTGTCAGTGATTTTAATGCCAAGATAGGACTGAGAAGATCATCCAAAGAACTCCACATCGGGACCCATGGCTAAGAATGGAATGAACAGGGTGAGAGACTGTCTGAATTCACCATGACGACCAAAACTATCCACGGTAACTCACAGTTCCAGAAGGAGAATCTAAATGTTGGATATGGGAGTCTCCTGGTGGACAGTTCCACAACAAAATTGATCAGATCATATTCAATTGACGATTTTGTCTGACCAATTTTGCAAGAGTTCAAGATGCGCTCTGTCTAACTTTCATCGATTTAAAGAAGGCCTTTGATTCTGTTAAGATTGAAGCAGTCATCGAAGCCCTGCCAAACAGGGTGTTCAAACTCAGAACATCAGGATCGTCCGTGAGCTGTATTATGGATTCACCACCAGGATCTCACCATTCTACAAGGAAGTGATCATCGAAATAAAGAGAAGGGTTTGACAGGGTGATACCATTTCACCAAAACTCTTCAGTGCCACCCTTGAGAAAGTCATGTGATGACTGGAATGGGAAGAAATGGGAGTGAAGATAGATGGTCGGAAACCACGCCACCTCCGCTTCACTGATGACACTATTCTAATAACACCAAATATTAGTCAAGTGACACAAATGCTGGCCGACTTCGAGCATGAGTATGGAAAGGTTAGACTGCAGCTGAATCTCATGAAGACAATGTTCATGAAAAACGAATGACTCCCTGATGTTCCATTTGCTCTGAACGGAATGGACATCTCAGAATGCAGCAGCTATGTGTACCTGGATCGAGAATGCAACATAAGGAACGACTTGGCACCAGAACTGTGCAGGAGGAAGAGAGTGGCGAGGAATGCCTTCAAGAGTATTGAAGAAGTTGTTAAGAGGATGAAGAACTTCCAGCTCTAGGCACAGGTTTTCGACTCCACCATTCTTCCTGCACTAATATATGCCTCAGAGACCAGAGCCCTACGAAAACAGGACGACAACGCTATTCGGATCACCCAAAGAGGAATTGAAAGAGCTATGCGTGGAGTATCACGCTTCACTCAAGTGAGAGGAGGAATCCAGAGTTCTGACCTCTGTCGACAATTGAAGATCAGGGACACTGCCTCGTTTGCCAAGGTGTCGAAAATCAGATGAGTTGGACATTTAATGAGATTTAGAGACGACTACTAGACTAGAGCCGTTATCAACTGGATTCCACAGGATGTCAAATGAACACCTGGCTGCCCACTTACGAGATGGTCGGACTTCTTTGTCAAGACCCTGAACAAACGGTTTGGTGCTCTTCGTGTTCCTGGAGCGAACAGACATCACGGGGCTACATTAGCCTGTGACAGGATTGAACGGAGATGTTACTGGCGCACGCTTGAGCAAATCCACGAACAACGGGATGACAAGTGACAAGTGATATATGCCTCTCAGAGAGCCTGGAAAGCGTACTAATGCTAATGGCATATTATTACTAATGGCAATAATATATCTATGGTACAGCATATGTTTCAGTCCCAAGAACAATGGAGAAAGATCAGAACAGTTTTGAATATCTGTTTATTTTGTAATATTAGTTGCACAGGAGGATTTTAACTGAATACAGAAGTTTTAAAATCAACTTTCCCAACAACACAAGGTTGACTTGCTTGATCTCAGAATTTATATTTTCATTTGTCTTTCGGTCAACTCATTCATTCATTCATTCATTCATCATCCTGTTAGTCGTCGATTGCCTCGAGCAGGCCCCGGTAACATCTCTTTCATCCTAGCCCTGAGATTATATTCAAGGCTCTTAAGGAGAATGAGACCCATCATTGTTACTGGTATTTGGCATATTTGGTACGCCATGGGGAGTTTGCCAGACTCTGCCGTGTGGGCAGGCTACATTGGGTAGCCTGCCAGTTTGTCCAAAGTAGGAATGAGATAATAAGATGTCATAAAAAGATATCCTGATAAGATGTTGCGTGGCCGCGAATGGAATTTGGAGGATCTGGGTGGAGGATGCTCAACCCCAATCCGAGTAGGCTTGGAGATCTCGGCCCCCCCGGAACCCACGTGGCTTTGTCCCTCTGCCAGTACCTTCATGTGTGTGGAGAGTGGTCTCAGCATGGTGGTGGCTGGTCCTGGAGGTCTTCGGCTGCCGGAGCCCTGGTCGGGGCAGGGAGGAAAGCTCAACCCGCTCCCCTGCAAGGGGCCTCGGTGAGGAACAGCCAGGCGTGGGGGCAGGAGACTGCACTGCTCTCGTCTGGAAGCTGGATTTTATAGTCACCTGGACCCCTGGCGCCGTGTAATCTAATCAACGGCCAAGACTCAGAGACTATAAAATCCAGCTCCCGGACGAGACCAGTGCAGTCTCTTGCCCCCGCGCCTGGCTGTTCCTCGCCGGGGCCCCTTGGAGGGGAGCGGGTTGTGCTTTCCTCCCCGCCCCGACCAGGGCTCCGGCAGCCGAAGACCTCCAGGACCAGCCACCACCATGCTGAGACCACTCTCCACACACATGAAGGTACTGGCAGAAGGACAAAGTCATGCGGGTTCCGGGGCCGAGATCTCCAAGCCTACTCGGATTGGAGTCGAGCATCCTCCACCCAGATCCTCCAAATTCCAGTAGGTGGGGGTCACACCCACCACCTTGGGTCCACTCACATTTCTTAATTATTCTTTGTGGATCTAAAACTCCAATTTTAGTCCCATATTCCTTTTACGGTGATTGTTTGCTTCCCTAGTGACTAATTAATCATAATTGTTTACTTGATGATTATTTGTATCTTTGTAATTTATGGTGATTCAATAAAGAAGTCATACTTTTAGGGATTTTATTATTGTTTTGTAAATTTAACATAAATTTTATTGCTATTTTATTACATTCAATAGAAATTATATTTTAAAGATAAAAAAGAGAACTTAGGAGCATGTAACTGTTAGAGATATATAAATGAGAAGAATTTTGTTTATAGTTTTCAAAAGGTTCTTATACTATATAAAAAGCATTGCCTTTTAAATAATTTATCTACTAACAAAATTAGTATATTAATATTGAACGTTCTATAGCATCTCACAATTGATGGACATCAGGCACTGTGATTCATTCACTATAGGACAATGACTAAATAATTACTGATCTAAAGCTATGATCTGGGACACTCGCATGTCCAGTGGTATTTCTCAAAATTATCATTAATTTTTTGGGTATAATTAACAGGAAGCTACAGAACCAAGAGCACATAGCAAAGAATAACAGAGAGGAAGTGGGCACACTTTGGAGATTCCACAGAACATAATTAGGAATTTCCCAAACAAATGAAGGAAAAATAAAAGACACACTAGCATTTTGGTCGAACTCTTCCTAGGCACTTGGCGGCAACTGTGGTTGAGTGGCATCGCCAAGTCTCCATGGACTTTCTCAGATACCCTTTGAAATCCTGCAACCTTTCCTCTGCTCTGACCATACAGGTCCACATTCTGATCCTATTCCCAGGTTGTACAGTGGATTGATGCAGTAGTTAGAGCCTTTCTCCATCACCAGGCCTTGGATCACGGCCATCAACTCCTTTATTTGCTCATCCTGATCGCCCCCTTTGGCACAGTTGTTGAAGGCACAGACTCATCCCCTGCACACTGCCACCAGTTCCTGGAGGGCTTGGTTATCTGTGCTGTGGATGTACTCTTCAAGGTCTTCCTTGTTTGTGAAGAGATTAATGGTGTGTGCCAGGGTTTCCTCTCCGAAAATCTCCTTCACTCTCTGCATGACCTTCTGGTCCTGGGTGGTGAACTGACTGAGCTGCATCACTAGGATCAAAACACAGGGTCCTGGTGTAGAAAGCCAGTAGCACCTCTGCACCTCTTTGTTCAGGGTGTCTGAGTGACGCTCCTCAGAAAATATATCCGGTGTGTCCACAACGAGCATGTCAGTCTCTTCCCACTTGCCCTGACTTTCATTGCATGACTTCGTGATGCCCTGGGCCCCCAGCCTGGCCTCAAATGCAAGGGTCAACATTCAGAAATGGCTCCACCAGAATTCAAGAACAATAGTTTACTAACTGCCATGTTATTATTTATTATTTTGAATAATAAATTTATTATTTTATTTCAAAAGGGCAGAGAATCATTTAATTACTCAGACAATGAGAGGAATGGAAGAAAAGCAGGATGACTTCTAAGAATTAATGGTGTTAAGCCATTTACAGAAAAATTAAGGGATTTACCGAATAATTTAAAAGAAAGCATTGGAACATATAGGCCTCTGGGACAATTCTCTTGAATGATCCATAAGTAGCCACTTGAATACAAGAAGAGAAAATTAGAATGATTAGGCTAAGTTGTACAGGAATTTTGAAGCTGGTTAACATTTTAAAAATGATCTTCTAAATGTCACATGAACATATGAATTATTTTCAGTATCTTCTTCCAGTGGAGGGAGGTAAGATGGCACCGATGCCCCCTGTACCCCTCACGATCTCCCGAACCCGGCTCACCATCTTTCCTTAGACAGTGCCTGGCTCAGCATGCTAGGCATGGAAGTCTACGCGTGATCCCTGCTAGAACTGTACACGTGGTTCCTGCTAGAAATAGCCGCTGTTTTGCAAGATTCGGACAGAATGACGTTGGTGGGGCATGGTAACACCGCAGTGGCGTCCGCAGCGTCACCGCCTGCCCCAACCAGGCCGAGTTGCAGCGCTATCCAGCCATGGCAGCAGTGCACGCAGCGGCTCATTCACTACAAGGCGATGTCCGTCAACCACCGAGTGACTTGGGACCCGGCACAGGTGTTCGACCTGGCACAGACTCCGTGATGGGGTCCTGCTCTGCTAGCTGCTCAACAACCTCCAGGCGCACTCCATCCACCTCAAGGAGATCAGCCTGAGGCCGCTGATGTCCCAGGTGATGCCCAGAGACACATGCAGGTGCATGATTGTCAGTGTACAGATGGTTAAAACAAGCCAGTCAACAAAAAGCTTGCATTTGGTAAACTGGGAGAAGCATACTGAAAGTAGACTATAGACCAAACATGATTGCCACTCAATGCCACTTTTGCAAACCACAACACCCAAAAGGAGAGAGAGAGAGAGAACAAAAGGGAATGCCCTGCCACAGAGGCGGGGTGGGATGGGGGGGATGGGGGATTGGAGGGATACTGGGACCGGTGGTGGTGGAAAATGGGCACTGGTGAAGGGATGGGTACTTGGTCATTGTATAGCTGGAACCCAAGCACAAAAATTTGTAAGTCTACAACTGTACCTCATGGTGTTTCACTAATAAAAATTAAAAAAAATTAGAGGTCGCCCCAAAAGCTTCTGTCCTAATCAGAGAGCCTGGCAAGCTACTGAAGGTATCCCGCCCACAGGGCAGATCCTGGCAAGGTACCTGTGGTGTATTTGATATACCAAAAGAGTAACAATAACGCATCTCATTCCCCTGACCCTGAAAGAGCCTTCAATACGGCAGAATTGGGAAGGAGGAGAGGAGAGGCTGCTAAAAATCAGGGCTATGGTGAATGGAGACATTACTGGTGCCTGCTCGAGCAAGTCGATGAACAACGGGATGGCAGTGCTGCAGTGCTATCTTCTTCCAACAGACCTATTTAAGTCAAAGAAGTTGGATGGAATGACAGAGTCCTGGAAACATACTTTTGAGGATGCGGAGGGCTCTTTTCCCCTTAGCGTGCTACTCAGCTACTGCTCCCTCAACGGCAGTGTCTTGTAGACGTATATTCTCGACTTTCTCTTTGCCTTTACCTTCTCATTCAAGTGGAAATATTTGGGAACTATGACAGCTCTAAGTTTTATCGCATGAGTGATCGAGGGTCCAAGCTTCAGAAAGAATATTTCAGCCCTCCTGAGAGAAAATATTAAAGGGAAGGAGGATTCAGGGGAAGAAAACTAGGTCTTTGCTTTCCTTAAACAGAGGCACTGGTAAGTGCAGGAGGGAAAGATTCTCCCACAAGGGACATTTCAAAAAAAAAAAAAACTTGTGAGTTCTTATTTGGAGGGAAAAAAAAGAACATTTTGCATTTCTGTATTTCCTGTTTTGGAGACTGAAGGGCAGGCACAATGTGAAAGCAGGTCTGGACGCAGGCACGCCTCTGCAGGCTCCTACCGCCACTTCCTGCTTTTCTCTGTCATGACGGGCGGTTTGTGACCAAGATTTTGTGTCTCATATCACTGGAAAATATAGACGACATCTTCATAGACCTGAGATATTTTAAGCTGCTGCTGCTTCTCTTCACGTTTCCCCCAAAGACAGTCTGAAGCTCTGAGAGGAGAGAGAAGGAATTCACAGGGGAGACAGAGCAGAGAGCAGAGTTGGGCTTCCTGCTCTGGCCCGCAGGGCGGTAAGTGGCCAGCCGAGTGGGGGTGGTGGTGGCCGTGTGCAGTGGGTGCCTTTGAGTCTGTGTGGGTTGTGTTTGGAGTAAGCCTGTGTAAGTGCGTGTCGTGTATATGTTTGCATATGTTGTCGGCTGTGTTTGTGAGGGTATGTTTGTGAGTGTTGCTGCTTGTTTTGTCTGTGTGCCACTGGGTTAATAGGGAGACCTGTGACTCATGGTGGGGAAACATTGTCCCTTCTGCTTCTTCCTCAACATCTCTGGTTACTGTGGGGCAGAGACCCTGCTGTCACTGTCATTATTTGGTGGGGGTGGGGGGAGGGTTTGAGGGTTTGGTTGTACCCAGTGGTGCTCAGGGGCTTATTCTTGGCTCTGCACTCAGGGATTTCTCCTGGACCTTCTCAGGAAATCGTATGGGGTTCTGGGGACTGAACCAGAGTCAGCTGCATGCAAGGCAAACGCCTTCCTGCTGTTCTCTCTTTCCAGTTTTCATCACTGTCATTCTTGAGAAACACTCAAAGGCAGAGGGCAGCCACCCTTGGTCAGTGTTGGAGAAAAACTACAGAGTGCAGTTCTGGTGAGGTGCCATGCATGGCTCTTCTAGGAGAGGGAGAGGGGACGGTGCAGGGGGTCTAAATTTTCCCTCCGGGTCCTATTGCCTCTGATCCTGGAACCTCTGCCCTACTGTTCAGCCACTCTTCCCCTTTACCAAGGAAGGAGGATTCCTTGGTAAAGTGAAGTGTCAGTTTCCACCAAGGACAGAGGAAGCCAAAGACAAAGGGACCAAGGGAAGGGAAGCCAAGGACCAAAGGGACCATGCAGTTAGCAGAGATCATTCCAGAAGCCCTCTGATAGGAATATGCTAGGTCCTTACTAGGGGGGAGTCTGGGTCTGGGTGAGGCTTTTACCCAAGCTGGTCAGTTCCTACTCATGGGCAGCCACCAGCTCACTGGACTGAGTCCATCCCTGCCTGCAAGTAGGGCTGACATGACTGACTCAGCCAGTAGATGCGACAGGAGCCACGCTGAGTCTCACAGGTCTCACCTGGGTCATGGGGGAGGATTGAGGTGGCTGCCAGGTCAATGGTGGCCAGTGACTGAGGCCATCTCTCCAGGTCCCCAAGCCCAGAACCTTACTAGGAGCCCTTCTGACTTTGATGTGTCCCTGGTACTATATGCTCAGGAGACATCACATAGTTGCCTGTCCACTCCCGCAGAAAATGTCTAGCAAGGACAGCATAAGGGGCCCCTGCAATGGGGGTGATGCCAGTCCCTGGGCATACTCTCATTAGGAGGGGACAGGAGTTCCTGACTGAGGTGATGTGGACCTGCTGCGCTCTAAAGTGTCACAAGATGAGGCCTGGGTGAAAGTACAGTGAGTAGGGCATTTGCCTTGCACACGACCGACCAGGGTTCAATTTCCAGCATCCCCTATGGTCCCCTAAGCAGCACCAGGAGTAATTCCTGAGCGCATGATCCAGGAGTAACACCTGTGCATCGCCGGGTGTGACCCAAGCGAATAAATAAATAAATAAATAGTCACAAGATACATCGGGATCATACAGGGAACAGGCAAAGTGCATTACTGGGCACTGCCCTCACCTGTGAGGACACTGAGTCCAGGCAGAGAGACCGCTCTGAGGAACCATTGTGTGGGTAAACACCGAGGCCTCTGAGGACTAAGCAAGACCCTGCTCAGCCTGTGACTCGCCTGGGCTCTGACCTCCTCCTCCCACTCCCCAGCCACCCGTCTGTAGTCACGCCACAGGCCTTCCCCACAGGCCCAGGCAGGCCTGTCTCTGTGGCCTAAGATCCCAGAGTCTCCAGCCCTCACTGAGCTCCCAGTGCTGCTGCTCAGACAGTCTTGCCCTGCTCTGGGCCCTGTTCCTCTCCCTCACACGACAGTCAGGGCCCTTTCTGCTCAAGGCTGCCCTTTCCTCAGGCATGAGTGACTGCGCCTTCTACATGAAATCTCCTCAGATCCCAGTGTAGACCACAGGACAGGGAGGAGTAGGGAGCAGGGAGAGAGATTAGGGCCCCTGAGGGCAGAAAAGGTCTCAGATCCTCCACCCTTCCCTGCTCTAAAGTAAACTATGCAAAAGGACATAAGGAAAGGAGAAAAGCAATATTTCACTTCACAAAATCAAATCACAAATCATCCTGTTATTCGTCGAATGCCTCGAGCAGACCCCAGTAACGTCTCCTTCATCCTAGCTGTGAGATTATATTCAAGGCTCTTTAGGAGAATGAGACCCATCAGTGTTACTGGTATTTGGCATATTGGGTACGCCACAGGGAGTTTGCCAGACTCTGCCATGTGGGCAGGCTACATTCGATAGACTGACTGCCAGTTTGTCCAAAGTAGGAATGAAATAATAAGATGTCATAATAAGATGTCGCGTGGTTCCGGGAGCTGGTTTTTATAGTCTCTGAGTCTTGTCCGCTGATGGGATTACACGGCACCAGGGGGCCAGTTGGTGGGTGTGACCCCCGCCTACTGGAATTTGGAGGATCTGGGTGGAGGATGCTCGGCCCCGATCCGAGTAGGCTTGGAGATCTCGGTCCCGGAACCCACGTGGCTTTGTCCCTCTGCCAGTACCTTCATGTGTGTGGAGAGTGGTCTCAGCATGGTGGTGGCTGGTCCTAGAGGTCTTCTGCTGCCGGAGCCCTGGTTGGGGCGGGGAGGAAAGCTCAACCCGCTCCCCTCCAAGGGACCTGTGTGTGGGTTCAACTCTCATGGGCCCAACTCTGCCACTCACCTGAGGAGACAGATGCAGGTTCTTGGAGACCTGTTCCCTGGGAGAGTATATTTGTGAATTATGAGGTATTGGAACACACATAATTATTTCACTGCGTAAAACTCACATTTCCTGACTTGAACAATGGAAAGTATTTATTATTTATTTATTTATTTGTAATATTTCACTTACAAATACAAAATCAGAGAATTCAACCCTTGACTTTTAATCACATGTACTGCTTAGGGGAAACGAGTGACTAACAGGTAGAGAAAGCAGAGCACAGAGAAGTTAAAGATGAATACTAAGGAAATGGGAATGCTTTGGGAGCATGTGATGGGTGTTACTCAGTAAACCTAAACTCCTTGTTGTGGAGGAGAAAGCAGAAACCAATGTGATTCTGCCATAGTGAAGCAGACCCAGTCCTTCTGTAAGAGACAGTCGGGTGCCTCTTCAGTCTTGGTGGAAGCAAGAGGACATGGAACTGTGCTTTTCTTTCTAGATGGAGGAGGAAGAATCTGAGTGGATCCTTCCCCAGACCCGAGCTGGAGTGCAGTCTCAGGATCCTAATGCAGACCTGCAGGCAGGTAAAACAACTGTCCCAGCAGATGCTGCCTTAGGACATGCACAGACTGGAACTGCAGTTCAGGTGGAGTTCGCAGAGGCAGAGGACTCAACAGACACAGAGACTGACTCCTCGGGGCTGCTAAGGAGGGTGTTCGGGGTGGGGTCTGTCCTCACCCCGGAAGTGACAGAATCTCCTGGTGAGTTCTCGCCAGGATGAGGGCCTGACCCCTGGGAGACAATCACTTCCCTTCCCCTGAGACCCTACAGTGGGTTTGGACCAGCCCTCAGGCCATGGTCGCAGAGCCTCCGGGATAAGCAGGCGGTGCTGGCCTCCACCTCAGATCCAGCCCCTCTCCTGAGGCTTCTCCCCAAGAGACATTGACCTGTGTGTGGGTTCAACTCTCATGGGCCCAACTCTGCCACTTACCTGGGGAGACAGATGCAGGTGCCTGGAGACCTATTCATTTCCTGTCTGGGAGAGTATATTTGTGAATTATGAGGTATTGGAACACACATGATTATTTCACTGCATAAAACTCACATTTCCTGACCTGAACAATGGAAAACATTTAAGTAAAATATGTAATCTCATAGAAAAAAGTTGCCAATACAAGTCTGACAATTTTTGTACATAAAGGTATACATTATGAAATAGAAAAATTTCTAAATTTTTGAATTATGAGCTCACTTGGGGCTGGAGCGATAGCACAGCGGGTAGGGCGTTTGCCTTGCGAGTGGCCAACATGGCCGACCCGAGTTCGATTCCTCCGCCCCTCTCGGAGAGCCCGGCAAGCTACCGAGAGTATCGCCCGCATGGCAAAGCCTGGCAAGCTACCCATGATATATTCTATATACCAAACACAGTAGCAACAAGTCTCAAATTGGAGACGTTACTGGGCCCGCTCGAGAAAATCGATGAACAACGGGAGGACAGTGACAGTGACAGTGAGCTCGCTTGACAGTGGTGAGTCTAAAGTTGCGATGAGCACTGGCTGTGGGATGCCCAGAGGGATCTCAGCCAGTGCCCAGCTTTGTAGTAACTCAGAGCACAGAGAGCACCTTTCACTTCCCCAGAGAAAGCCGCACGCCCTCCACTTAAGCACACATGCACCTGCCCGCACACACAAAGACCACCGGCCCAGATCACACATCTGTTCAGAAATGCCAAGAGGTACTGGCGGGGTGCTGTCTGAGAGGCAAGTGGGCAGGGAATCTCCCTGCAGGTCCCCGCAGGTGGATGGCATCTAAGCCCTAGCCCTCTGCTTCCCTCAAATCTAGGTGTGCTGGAGAGCCAGGAGACCCCCCAGAAGCTCAGGCTGATGTTGGTGGGCAAGAGTGGAAGTGGGAAGAGCGCCACCGGCAACAGCATCCTGGGCCGGACCCTGTTCGAGTCCAGACTCAGCGCGGCACCTGTGACACGGGCCTTCCAGATAGGGATGAGGGAGTGGGCCGGGAAGCAGCTGGAGGTGATGGACACCCCCGATCTCCTGTGTCCCTTGGCCCTTCCCGCGGAGTCTGCCCAGCTCATGTACCAGGCGGTCACCTTGTCCTCCCCAGGGCCCCACGCAGTGCTGCTGGTGACCCAGTTGGGTCGCTTCACAGAGCAGGATCGCCAGGCGGCCCTGCGCCTCCAGCAGCTCTTCGGGGCGGGTGTGCTGGCACATACCATCCTGGTGTTCACCCGCAGGGAGGACCTGGCTGGGGATTCCCTGGACGAGTATCTGCGAGGCTCCGGCAACCAGGACCTGACCAGGCTGGATGCGCTGTGCGCGCGGCGCCACTGTGGATTCAACAACAGGGCGCAGGGGCGTGAGCGGGAGGACCAGCTCCAGGCGCTCATGGAGCAGGTGGAGGTTGTGCTGTGGGAGAACGAGAACGGGTGCTACAGCAACAGCGCCTACCAGTACTGGCAGGAGAGGCCCCGCGGGGAAGGGCCAGCGAGGCCAGCGGTCCCGGAGCAAGGCTCCCAGGAGGAGCTGGAGGAGGAGGCTTGGATAGAGGAGCTGTGCAGGGTCCAGAGAGAATCTGAGCAATCCCACAAACGTGTCCTAGGGAGAGCGCTCCTTTGAGGGAAGGCTGGTCTGTAACTGGGCACAGCTGTTTCCCGCCAGCCTCCTGCAGCCTGAGTCAGCTTCTAGACTTGCTCTCTCTATTCCCACGGAGCACTCACCCACCCAGTCTCAGGGCACGGAGTCTGCTGTGGTTGGGGGCTGCAGCTTCCTTCTTTCCAGCTCACATCCCAGAGCACGTGGGTCCTCTCTCCTTGGGGTCCCTCACATACAGCCTGGCATCTCGTTGACATTCTCCTTCTTGAGATGATTCTCTTTGCCCTCAAAGAATCAAAGCTTTGGTCAGACTGTGCCTCATTCTTCCATTGTGACCACCCAGAGCATCACGGCTACTGGAATTTCTCCTCCAGTGTTGATGATGTATGTCAGAGTGGGGAGAAGAACAGGGGACTTCATATTCCTTGGGTTACACCTTCTTCAGAAATGATGTTGGCAGATTAACTCTTAGAACTTTTGGTGACCTGAGTGTGGTGATTTAAAATATAGCAAACACTCGCGTGAGATGTGGGGAGATGCATGTTGCTGGGCAGAGAGATTCAACCCAGGGATTCAACCCAGGAGTCAACCCAAGGGACATTTTCTGCACCCACTCTTAAAGGAGAACATAAATGAACAGATAATGAATTCCACGGCAAGGTTTAGGTTTTGCTCCATGGCTTGGAGGCCAGCTACACATGCTATGGGGAAAGAGATCTCAGAGAAGGGAGCACCAAATAAAGGGTGTTGGGAGGATCTTCCCAGGATGGGAGAAGCATGCTGAAAGAAGACTATAGACCAAACATGATTGCCACTCAATGTCTCTTTTGAAAACCACAAGACCCAAAAGGAGAGAGAGAACAAAAGGGTATGCCCTGCCACAGAGGCAGGGTGGGATTGGGGGGATGAGGGGAGGGAGGGATACTGGGATCCGTGGTGTTGGGAAATAGGCACTGGTGGAGGGATGGGTGTTTGATCATTGTATAATTGAAACCCAAGCACAAAAATTTGTAAGTCTACAATTGTACCCCATGGTGTCTCACTAAAAAAAAATACGCAGTGACTCAGATGTCTAAGATGTGATGATAGCTTTGACTCTAGTTCATTGAAATGTGAGCCCCAAAGAAGAGCATTACCCAAAGGCAAACTTAATTTGGGGCTCATGTCCCCCTGCTCTTTACGCATGATATCTGATTTTTGGTGTTTGAAAAACAAAGGCAGATCATCCCTGCCTCAATTCTTCTTTTCAGGGAAATAGAAAAAAGTCTTTCCCCCTCACCTGATAGTGGGGCTAGAAGGATGCCTGGGGTGAGTGTCTGCAGTGGGAGTTCCCAGACAGGGCTGTGGCACAGAGGCACAGAGAGAACAGAGACCTTGAGTAAGATGTTGTACAGCATAAACATGACAGGAAGGAGCTGGTTTAATGGGGGACATTCTGGAAGCCCTTGGTGTATTTCTGGAGAGCTGCTTTACTGAAAAATTTCAAGCAATGGGGAGTAGGAAAAGAGGGGATTTAGAAGTTTGTCTGACTTGCCCTTGTGACAAGTGTCTTAGTGCACAGATGGAGAACTTCCTCTAGATGCACCTCTCTTTCTCTGAGATTCTAGATGTTGCTGGGGAACATCCTGGGAGTTTGATGTACATAGAATGTACATAGAATAGATGTCATGGGGAAGTACCTTTGATGGCAGTTCCTTTTCCTCCTTTAAATGGTCTCTTGTGAACAGGGTGGGGGATGAAATTTCCCTGGGTGTTGACAGTCCTTGGGAATCATCTCAAAACCTAGGACATTGCCTTTTGCCTGTCTGCATAATAATCCATTGATTGGAGAGTCTCTCTGTTAACCCCTACAGACCTCTGGTCTCACAGCTGGAGGCCATGGCAGTCATCTTCCTCCGAATCAATGAACTCCTGAGGAAGTTTAAGTACCTCTACTGTTGAAAGACACAGACTAGAGAGTCAAGGCTGATCATAGACTTATTTTGTTGTATATTTAAGAAAGCTTTTTGTACCAGAACTAAATTTATGTTCCACTTCCCATTTATATGAAGTGCAATATATTCTGTATTAAAAGTATAATACTTGTATTAAAATTTCACATACTCAAAAGTTTATGCTAGGATTTTAAATTCTGTTTATCTTCTATGTATTATTCTCCTAAATGAATAAAATATTGATTTGATTATAGTGTGTTTTTTATTATAATAGGGTCAACTCTTCCACAACCTATGGTCACGGTCACGGTCTTCCCGTTGTTCATCAATTTGCTGGAGCGGGCCCAGTAATGTCTCCATCATGAGACTTGTTGTTACTGTGTTTGGCATATCGAATATGTCACGGGGATCTTGCCAGGCTCTGCCGTGCGGGCGAGACACTCTTGGAAGCTTGCCGGACTCTCCGAGAGGGGCGAAGGACTCGAACTCTGGTCAGCCATGTTGGCTGCATGCAAGGCAAATGCCCTACCTCTGTGCTATCGCTCCAGCCCTCCACAACCTACATTTTATATTTTCTTGGTTTTCCTCAGGTATTTATTCTTGTGAAAATTAAAATCACAGGGACAGAGAAACAATTTGCTCATGGCAAGCAGGAGTAAATATATTGTAGTAGGCATGTGAAATGTGTAGAAGGAGAGGAGAGTGGGCAAATCTTGAATAAAAGAATAACCAGGGGAAAAACAAAGATGTTGAGATCAATTCAGGTGCGATTGCTCAGTACTGTGGAACTGCTTTTGAGAGAATAGCTGAGACTGAGACACAAGCCCAATCACAGAAAATCCAAGAATTCTAAGGAAACAATGTGTCCCCCTAGCTTCAGGCCCTCACCGTTTTCTGAACTGGTGCTTCAAAACTGTTGCCTGGTTCCTGGAGTGCTCTCACAGACTCATAAGTCCTGATGGCTTGGGCCATACAGTATTAGGAATTCCTATCATTTAACTAAATAAAAATAACATAAAACTTTCACTCAATTAAAACACGTACATCAGGACAAAAGAGTTTGCAGTAAATGATGAGAAATGTAGAAAAATTTTCTATCCTTATTAAATATTAACCTTTCTCAGGATAATGTGACTTACAAATAATTTAAGTGCCTGCTAGAACAAACTCAGAATTCTTCTGAAAAATTCACTATTTTTTTTTTACTAAACATTTTACTAAAACATTTTTTTGCTTATATAAGATAGAAAGCTACAAAACAATTCCTATGCACATTTATATATATATCTAAATTTCTTTTGGCACGTTTGTGTTCACTGTCCTCATATTAAAAGAATTTCTTGGTATTTGGAATGCCTTTTTTTCATTCAAGAATTTGTTATAGGTATAAGTTTAATGTGCAAATAATTCAGAATCCAGTACGATAGCTAGTGTTCTCATGTAACTCTGAGTATGTCAAATGTAGTTGAGTCATCTGAGATTTAACACTTCAATTTTGATTTAGTTATAAAGAGTTTTAAGACTGATTAAGAGGAAAGCAATGTGAGATAGTTTACCATCACAATTTCTTTGTAGTTTGATAGAAACGTGTTTAACTCTTCCTGTTGTAGTGTATTTTATATATATATCATACTCATACTATTACACACGAATATATCACATGCTCAGTTAGTGGATGGAATCTGTTTGAATAATTTTTTACACCAATTAAGTGCTTTCATTGGAATATAGTCTCAGTTACAGCAAAATCTAACTATATTTTAATTGGTAATTGAACTTGCCAATAAATTATTTCCAACAGATTAAAATAGTTTAATTTTCAAAGTAAGTATGTACAATTTGTAACATTTTGAAGTAATGGCCTAATTTTGAAAAAATGGCCTAATACTGATGAAGAAGTGAATATTGATTTTTCACATTTTTAGCTTTTTAAAAAAATTTATTGAATCACCATAAAATAGTTACAAGCTTTCATGTTTGGATTACAATCACACAATAATCAAACAGTTGGCTCTCCACCAGTGCACATTTCCCACCACCGATACCCGGGGTATATCCCCCCCCCCCAAGCACTTCTTTCCAAAATTCCGCCTCTGGCATGAAAGACAATATTCCCCATAGTTTTTCTCTACCTTTGGGCATTATGGTTGCAATACAGACATTGAGGGCTATCATTTTTGGTCCTTTATCTACTTTCAGCATATATCTCCCATCCCAACTGGTTTCTCAAACATCATTTCCCTTTTTTAAAAAAAATTTTATTAGTGAAACACCATGAAGTGCAGTTGTAGACTTATAAATTTTTTGTGCTTGGGTTTCAGTTATACAATGATAGAGTACCCATCCCTAGACCAGTGCACATCCTCCACCACCACGGGTCCCAGCATCCCTCCCACCCCCCATCCCTCCCCATCCCACCCTGCCTCTGTGGCAGGGCATTCCCCCTTGTTCTCTCTCTCTTCTTTTGGGTCCTGTGGTTTGCAAAAGAGGCATCGAGTGGCATTCATGTTCAGTCCATAGTCTACTTTCAGCATGCATCTCCCATCCTGGGAGGATCCTCCCAACACCCTTTACTTGGTGCTCTCTTCTCTATCTGAACTGCCTTTCCCCCTAGCATGTGCAGCTGGCCTCCAAGCCATGGAGTAAATCTCCTGGTACTTATCTTGGCTACTCTTGGGTGTTCGTCTCCTATTTTGTTACTTTATGTTCCCCAGATGAATGCAATCTTTCTGTCTGTCCCTCTCTTTTTGACTCATTTCACTTAGCACGATACTTTCCATGTAGTACCACTTGTATGTAAATTTCATGGCTTCATTCTTTCTAACAGCTACATAGTACTCCATTGTGTAGATGTACCAAAGTTTCTTTAACCAGTCATCTGTTCTCAGGCACTCGGGTTTTTTTTCCAGATTTTGGCTATTGTGAATAGTGCAGTCATCCTCCACCCAGATCCTCCATCTTCCAGTAGGCAGGGGTCACACCCACCAACTGCCCCCTGGTACTGTGTAATCCCATCAACGACCAAGACCCAGAGACTATAAAACCCAGCTCCCAGAAGCGTGCAGCTGCATTTGCGGCCGTGCAACATCTTACTATCTCATTCTCACTTTGGACAACCTGGCAGGCTATCGAATGTAACCTGCCCACACAGCAGAGTCTGGCAAACTCCCCATGTTGTACCCAATATGCCAAATACCAGTAACAATGATGGGTCTCATTCTCTTAACCCTGAAAGAGCCTTGAATATGGCACTTTTTAAAATCTCAGGGCTAGGGTAAAGGAGATGTTACTGGTGCCTGCTTGAGGCAATTGACGAACAACAGGATGATCTGATCGTGATCGTAAATAGTGCAGCAATGAACATAGAAGTGCAGATGTCATTTCAACTGTACTTTTTTGCTTCTCCTGGATATATTCCCAGGAGTGGTATTGCTGGATCAAATGGGAGCTCAATTGCTAATTTTTTGAGAATCGTCCATACTGTTTTCCAAAAGGGCTGAACCAGTCAGCATTCCCACCAGCAGTGAAGGAGGGTTTCTTTATCACTACATCTGTGGCAACACCGGTTGCTTTTATTCTTTTGGATGTGGGCCAGTCTCTGTGGTGTGAGATGATATCTCATTGTTGCTTTGATCTGCATCTCCCTAATGATTAGTGATGTAGAGCATTTTCTCATGTGACTTTTAGCCATTCGGATTTCTTCTTTGGGAACGCTTCTGTTCATTTCATCCCCCATTTTTGATGGGGTTAGATGTTCTCTTCTTGTGGAGTTCAACCAGTGCTCTGTATATCCTTGATATCAAACCCTTATCAGATAGGTATTGGGTGAATATTCTTTCCCATTTTGTAGATTGTCTTTGTACTCTAGTCACTGTATCTTTTGAGATGCAGAAACCTCTTAATTTAAGTTAGTCCCATTTGT